TAAATAAATGTAAATAAAACTGTGAAAATATTGTCTTTGTTAAAATTTATATGTTTATATGTATAAAAATGTGATGATGGAAAATTTGGTGATCAAAAGTATCTTTTTTTGGTGATCATTTGTATCTAAGGGCGTTTGGTGATCAAAAGTATCTTTTTTTGGTGATCAAAAGTACATTTACTCATATACACCTGTTTAATACAAAAAACTCTTGAATATAAAATACAATAAAAAAAAACAAAGTTCAGTCCTAGGGAAAAAATGACAAAAAAAGACAAAATGATAATAAAAATGTTTGGAAGACTTTTTTGTTTTACAATAGGAATTGTTTATACAGATTTTATAGAGCTTTCGACGGCGCATCTTTTGAGAAAAAAAACAAGGTGCTACCATTTTCTTAAGCCGAGATACATGCAAAATATAACAGTCTTCCAAACATTTTTATTATGCTAAATACGGTGGGAAGTAGCACTATCATGTATTATTTCTTCATTTCGAGTATGGAAGAAACCATGCGAACAAGTCAAGGACTTGTTCTTACAGTTTTGTAGAACTTTTCACGACGCATCTTTTGAAAAAAAATCAAGATTTTGTCATTTGCCTGTGCAGAGATATTCGCAAAACAAACTATGTTGCAAACATTTTAGGACACCCGGTATTTCACAGTGTTTAATATTTTGGCTACAACACCGTCATTTCTCAATGAAATCCAAAATGTTTTTTTACCAAAATGATCAGCGAAAAAAGCTCTAAAAAGTCTGATAAAATGAGAAGTTTTCTGAATACTTTGTGTTTTTGTGGTTGATTGTCCACGAAAGTATCCTATAACAACAATATCATTTCGTCTTTTTTATGTCATTTTTTTCTTGGGACTGAACTTTGTCTTTTTTTATTGCATTTTATATTCAAGGATTTTTCATATTAAACAGGTGTATATATATAGTACTCGACCTCTACTATACAGACATATAATGAAATTAAATTAATGTTGTGTAGTTTTAATACACGAATCAAAATAAAAAAGTGGCGCGAGACTTATGACGTCTACTGTATTATTAAGTCTCCATCTTGCGAGTTATATATATCAGAATTTAGTGTTGATTCTAATCATATAATTTGTTTTCAAAAAATATTCAGGAATGAAAAATGGCCTTACCATTTGTCCTTTCAGGGTAGATGTAGTTTCATCTGCTTTTAAAAGTTGGTTTATAAAAAATCAATATCAAGGAGGGTATAGTTCCTCCCTTAAGGCGATTAATATGCTTTCTTTTGCTGTTAATCGTGAAATTCTAAGTTGTCACTCATCAAAAGTATTTTATTGCCACATTCCATGATAGCAAAGCCATAGATTTTCCAGGTTGAGATTCATTTCGTTTTGTGACTGTGATCGAAAAAGCTTAAGAATAAACTCTAAAGAAAAGAACATCTTTCTATTAGTATGCATAATTAATCTGATTCACATCACACATTATCATGGATATACCCTGACTAAACTTTCCGATAATGATATTTAGGAAAGTATAGATGATGATTTGGAAATGTATACAAAAGGTTTAAATACTCACTAACCTGATTTAATGATCTTATTTATTAATTCAAATATTGGTAATGACGATGGAAGAAGATCACTTATTTCATTCACTATTTTCTGAGAATATCGATAATGTTGTTCAATATCGTTTTCCACATTTGCTTGTCCTAATCCAATAACATGAAATGCCAATACAATATAGAAAGATTTTAAAGTCGATTCGTGTTGAGCAATCAATTTAGGTGAAAAACTTTCCATTATTTTAAGCGTATATTGTTCCAATGTAGAGTGAGTATTTATTTTTTGTTCATAGCAATATTTCAATATTGGATGTATTTTTAATGTTGTAACAATATCGTGTAAATTTATGTTTTCAATCAAAAAGCTTTCTAATTTTTGTTTTATTAATGGTAAAGCGAATTCAGATTGTTGATGATTACTATTTAATAACCATAGTTGACCGCGATGTGCATAAAAAACAGCATAATTAATACGTTTTAAATCAACCGATAGTGTCAAAGATTCTGAAGCACTAATTGTAAATTTATCTTTTATGAATGATATTTCATCTTCAGAATTATCAATAGTATTATACTGTAAAATTACTGTGCCATCTTTTTTCTCATTTTGAAGATAGATTGATAATATATTTGGGTGTTGTTCCACAATACATTTAGAATTTTTTTCATGATATAATGTTTTATTTACTTTTATTTTATTTTTGAAGGGATTACAATCATCTAATAGACATTTTAGACAGTTAGCAGCAGATAAGTCTTGACAAATAATCTCAAGGCCGTCGATAGATTCCAATGACAATTTGGATTTAATAAGAAATTCTTGTTGTGAACTAATAAATTGTCTTGGACTCATTTTATCCATGTAGACACCATTGAAATCAAATTGTTGAATTATGCCCGTGGTATTACCATATTCATATCGTTTCCTTGCCATATTTCCTACACTTACTTTCCATTCGATATCTTCACATTTAAAAATGGACTTTAATGGTATTTTAATAAATATAGGTATAGGACATATAGGATCCTGTCCAAATTGATCTGTGGTATATTCTATACTACCTAAATTTTCATTTATATGTTGATTAGGCGTATGTGGACGAAAATAGAAAGGAACATAACTTTTAACTTCGTCGCTCGGAATCATATTGAGAGCAGCGGAATCTTTAAAATAAACAACATTATTTCGACATTTTAACACTTTTTCATTAAAAATTGATACAGCATTTTCAATATGTGTATAGTGATAAATATAATCTTTCCATGGTGATTTCTGCATGTTCAAACATTTGATAAATAACTCCTCTGGATAATCAAAACTAGGTATTTTTGAAAATAATTTAATATTATCTCTTTTAATTTGTTCCTGAATTTTATTGTAGTCTCTATATCGTCCATAAGCCGTTGATGAAGATAACTGTTGAAAAATACGATCGTTTCCAATTTCTGAATAATGTTAGAAAAGAGATATTCATTGTATGTGGTAAACAGTTGCATAATAAGTTTTTCCTATACATTTGCTGATAGGATCCTTAAGAAATCCTGCAAAAAATTCTATTAGGGTTTAGCTTGTTTTTTCATACGATCCTAGGAAAATGCTGCAGAATCCTAAAGAAATCAGGTATACCGAAAAGTAGTAGAATTTCCTAGAATTTTGTGAAGATTCTATGCAGATCCTAACAAGAAAATGTGATTACTGCATCCTGATATAGCAGGAATTAAAATTTTAGTAGGAAAGTAGTATATGCCTTGAACAGATATTTCATACGATTGTCTATATACTCTTAGTTCCCGTCAAATTTCTTCATTCATTTCCATTTAGGGACATTTGCAAATGACAACAACTCTTTGGATTCCTTAGTCCAACGTAAAAAGTGAATATAAGCAAACCTGAATGAGTGATTTGACATGAATATCATTTGTTTTTTTTAATTCTTACGTTGCTTCAACACTGAATTCATCCTTTTCCCTAACAAGCGATTCCGGTCAGATATTATGACTTTTTTCTGTCGAAAACGTAATAAAAACTAGCAGTAAGTAAGATGTAAATGGTATTTAGAAAATCATACAGAACCGGTCGCAGTTCAATCTCATGTTTCTTCTTTGCTCATTGGGTGCCACAACGCAGTGCATAGTTGACAAAGCGATAAACAAAATAAAAATTTCATAAGAATTTAGATTGCTTCAAATTCAGTAATCTGTATTACACGCTCTTTCTAATTTAAAAATAGAATTTGCGTTCATAAGTATGTCAAATTCAGTGCCAGTCATAGATCAGAAGTTTGACGCAACTTTTGATTAATCTCAACCAGTTCGCTAAAGTAAATAAATCTCAAAAGCAGGTGAAACTGTCTCCTTTTATCATACCTTAGATAATAAAGGATTTGTTTTTCATTAAGAAACAAAGTCCTGTCAGGATACTAAATGTTAGGATCCGTTATAGATTCCTGGCGGGAGCTGAACATCTAAGATTCTGTAAAAACTTACCAGGCAGTCCGGTCTCATAGCCCGAACGGGATATAATATACTGAAGGCACATCAAGACACGGTGTTTTTTGTTTTTGGATGTGGGAGTGGGAGTTCTTCTTTGAAGAAAACTAGGTTTATCCATAGCAAGGTTACAGAGCATTTTCACTTGTTAAAATCCTACGTTGAAATAATCATAGCCAAGAAGTAACATCATATAATAACATTTCTTGATCATCAGTTAACGCACGAGTCTTCAACGCTTCACATACTTGTTCAATAGAAAAATTCAGTAACGATTTCGACGTTGTTTGACAAGAGACATTTTGACATTCATTGGTTATATCCAGATCATTAGACAATGTTTCTGAACTGAGTTTCTGACGCTTAGCATTTGGTGGCTCTTGGTCCAAAAAATCAACTTCTATCTTTTTTACACATAAATTACAAACAAATTTACATTTTTTGCTAATAAAATAATCATTTTCACTCAAAATGATCAGCACCTTGCTATTGACCGAACGCTTATCGGTCCGCAAAAGAGAATACTCTAAATCATCATGCCACTCTGAGTGTAAACGATTACCACATTTGCTGTGATGATGGCACCGTTTTCGCATTTTATCGCAGAAAAAGCAGATATCGTCGATTTATATAGTTCAAAATACACGAGTTGCAACATTTTTTTAAAACGGCAGTTTTGTAGAGAAAACATTTCTCTATAAGATGGTGTATAGTAGTTAATTTTAAAAACTTTTTTAACCGACCGTAGGTTTGAGGAAAACGCTTTCTAAAAGGAAACAAAAAGCTTTAAAATTAACTACTAAACACCATCTTATAGAGAAATGTTTTCTCTACAAAACTGCCGTTTTAAAAAAATGTTGCAACTCGTTTTTACGAAAATACAAACCATTTATTATGAATTTTTGAAAAATACGAAAAAAAACCGACGCACTCCTACCTCTAACCTGAGGTTAAAGTTTTTGAATCTCAATACAATGAATTAAGGCCGAAGATTTTTTGTTATTATAGATCGACTCATCGACTATTAGCACACATCAGGCTTTCACCTGTAGAATGAGTACTTGTTTATATGGTTTTCTCCTTGATATGTCAATCACGTTGTTTATTATTGATAAAGGTAAAAGAAAAACAGATTCATCAGAAATATTATTAGCAAATGATAGCAGAATGACAGTGAATGATAGCTTAAAGTGAATGATCAGAGCTCAGTATTTCAAATAACGATTTTTCTTATGTATTTTCATGGATGAGTGAACTTCTCTCTTAGTTGTTTATATCGGCAGCACTACATTGCTGCTCACTTGTGTTATTCAATAAGAAATCCGTAAGTAATGATCTACATTTCACTTATATTTGTGTACACATGCATGGTACTACACATACCGTTAAGTTGTGAGTTAAATGACAATGGAAAAAGTGCAACTGTGATTGAAGTGCCCAGTGAACACTGGAAATTAGTTGATTTGAAAGCACATGAAAAACACAAGGTTCGTCTAATATTGGTAATTAAAAATGATGATGAACAAGTGGAAAATTTAAAGCGTCAGTTTGATTATGT